CTTGCAGTTCCAAGCTAGCACAATCACTATTTGTTTCTTTTTATTAATAATAACGCTAGGTTAAGTGTTAAGTAAAACAGGACTTTTGACAAGCAATGTCAAGTTATATGCCATAAATCCTTTACTTTTTGATAACTTCATTAGCAATAGAAGAAAGTTTCCATTTCACTTCTACATTGTTGGATATCAGTATTTCAAACCAAACAAACAAATAAATCATTAGCAATTTGGTAACTATTTTATTGCTTAATTAATCTGTGTATTTTTTGTTTCGGGTAGGATCTCATCTGGTCCACTTAACTTTTACTTTTCCACTTTTGTTGAGGAACTCTAGTGATGTAGTGTATATTACTTAATGAGTTGCTGACCAAAAGGACATATTCATTAGGCCTCTGTTTTCACTGAGATAGGTACTCTGTTATCAATAAGATTTAAAGCCTCAGAAGCTTCATGTAGAGTTGTCATGAATCAAAATCTACTTGATGGTTGCAGGTTTGCTCTTTTGGTAATTTTTCTTTATCCTTTTTATTAGTTCCCCATCCCTTTGTTATTTGTTCTGGGAGTATATTTATTTGTTATTACTTGACCAGGGTAGTAAAAATATTGATGTTTATGTTCAAAATATTAATTATATAGAAAATGGCAGAATTTGGAAGACTTTTTTATGAATTGTGGGGTGATACTTTTTGTTTGCACAGCCAGTAACTTTCTTTGTAGAACACATAGTGGATATCAGATTCACTTCTTCAATTGTTTAGTCTCTTTGGAAACCATTTGAGGGCCACTTTGTGTTGGCATCAACTCAAAGACAGTGGGTTTGCTTTTGGATCTGTTGTCGTGCATACATGTGCTGCGTTTCTTTGTTACTGTTTATAAAATTTTAGACACTCATAAACATTTTCTGTGTTGTGAGAGTTAGAAATGATATTTCTCATGATTAGAATGTCTACTACTTAACATAATCGTTTTATTTGTTCCCTTGGAGAAAGCCCATGATGGGGTTATCTGCAGAAGACAAGCTGCCTGTTGACCTGATATTCTGTTAGTGGTGGTGTTCATACTATTATTTGGAGAAGATATTCTAGCTTTGGTGATATTTTCTTGTTAATTTTTTTGTTTTAATTTCATAGCAGATTAAGCATGCATTTTTTTCTGTTGCTTTGAGGATAATCAGAAAGTAAATAGATCTCATAATGCTCATTTATCAAATAGTTTCTATTCCTAATATGTTGTTGTTGTATATGATGTTGACTCAAAACCAACTCGTAGCTGATCCCCTAGTGAATTTTCAGAGGATGTAACTCACTCAAGAGGAGACTGTTCATCTCTCTCCTGTGGAGCGGCTGGTAGACATAAACCATGTATGTTAGTTTTGTCAGCACAGCTCCTGAGCTTCAAGAGGCCAGTGGAATAACTGGTAAAATAAGAGCTGTTTGATTGCATTAATGGGAAAATTCATTAGAATGACCATACTTGTAGCTACTTGAGTGACATATAGAATGCATAAGCTTGCACATATTCTTGATCATGCCATACAAATGGCTAGAAGAGCAAATTAAACATATTTATTTCATTTCCATGAAACTTAAATGGGTCATGTGTTATTATGTACCACTGAGTGGGAAAAAATATCATAGCTGACCCTCTGGTAGATTTTCAGAAGCACAAAATTGCACAGGAGGAGATTCTCTTTCTCCGCAGTTGAGTTTGAGCACTTAACTTCTTACAACACTTAAATCCACCAGAGCTCCCTTAAATGGTTCATAAGGAGGTTATAATGTTTGAACCGACTAACAATCAAGGTGATAGAAAATTATCTTTCACCTTTTATAAGCATGAGAATCTCTGCATTTATGTGAGTCTGATTTTTAAAAGCTCGTTACGATGTACCACTTCTAATTGTAGAGTTTTAACATTTTTATTGTTTTTGAAGTATATGAACAGAGAAATCGCCATGTTAACCTTCTGTTAGTATGCAGTTTGCTACTAATTCCATTCAGCATGTTGTGAGACAATCACTGCCATCTCTTCCCAAAGTTCTTCCTCACTGCATGAGGAAGCTCAGTACCTCTTAAGCCTTCCCCTTCTCCCTCCACCAGCTTATACGGTCCACTACTAAGCTTTTTTCTTCATGTGTTTGCTTACTGTAGATATTTCCTAGAAGTGACATAAAATTGTTTTTGAAAAGCAAATCTTCCAACCTTTAGCTTCTAGAGAATTAAGTTCTAAAACTGCCATTAATTTTATTAAGTCAGGAGCCAAATGGATTAATAAAGAAGTATCAAATGGAAGGTACAGCCTCTCAGATGTTTTTAATGAGAAAAATAACTGAAGACTGATGACCAAAGTTGAAAAAGAAAATTTTGCCTGTCTTGTAGTTTTCCTCATAAATGAAACTTTCCCAGGGAGAATATAGTCTGCTTTAAGATAGGTTCAGAGGAGAGCATGTCAGGGAATGCTTTTTATTCCCCCCTTCGTATTTTCAGTCAGCTGCTTTTCTTGATTTTTCAAGTGGGGAAAAATGCAAATTTTAAACGTTAGTGAAACCTATGAAAATGTCAAAATCAGTAAAAATTAAAAAGCCAAGCTGAAGATGCAAATCAATGACAATTAAGGCACTTCCATATTGGGGCAAATATGTGTACTGAATGATGAGGCCTAAGCCTGTCTACCTCAGGACTGGTTCTGTCTCTACCTGTGCAAAATCATTGCTTTCTTGGAGTTTACTGATTGATAGGAAACATTTTAACTTTCATTTATTTTAGATTGTAAAATTTAGAAGGAATGTGTTTTGATGCTTCTGATACTGCTTTGAATTTCAAATAACAAAAAAAATTACATTATGATATGTTTCTTTAACATTTTTATTGAGGTGGCTGTTCTCATTTTCACAAAGCCTTTATTCAATAAACTCTTAAATGGTTTCACATAAGACATAAAACAACAAACAAATGAGGTGAATTTAATGTTTATACATCATAACAAATATGTAAAAATACTCTTGCATACTAAATATAGGCATGCACTTTGGATGTAAGTATGCAATTTTACTTATTTTCCAATATATTGGTTTCATTAGAAATGTAATATTTTCTAAAAATATTATTAAACATAAGAGATTTTATATAGTGAGCAGGCTTAGACTTTGTCTTGACTTTGCCCCATTTCTTTTCAACTTATTTTTTTCTTATTTTTATTATATCTTGTGTAATTTACATGTTTAATGCTAGGAATCAAATATTGTTTTATGGATATGGACATTGTAATAACAACAAAGTATTCCTTTGAGATGGTACTAAGGGTATTTTCCCATAAAATGCCAACACTGGGTATTTATTAATTAGAAATACAACTTGAGAAATCACAGTTTTGGAGATTTTTGTATTTAAATTCTGGAGTATCTCTTTTATTGTTATCACCTGAAAGTAATCTTTTGTTGATAAATGCTATACATCAGATTTTTACAGTCTGAACGAGACATCTGACTAAAACATCTCTTATTCCACGTGAATAGAAGTCCTTTACTTCCTTTCAAAATAATTTTATCATTATAGTATTGTATACAATGATTTTTTTTTCCCTTGTTGTGTCCCATTAAATTGAATCCAACTGGCATAGGGAGAGATTGTCCCTCCTTCCCCAGGGGAGCATCTAGTGGATTCAAACCGCTTATCTCTGGGATTGCAGCACAGCTTCTTGCCACTAGGCCACCAGAGCTCCCTAAAGGGGGAGGCAAGAGGCCGAAAGAGCCCATCTTTGTCATGCGGAGCAGCTCGTAGGCTCGAACTGCCAGAGAAGCGCCTATCATTATAGTATTAATTTTGATTAGAATATTAAACTATTTCAAAAATTTGGTGGTGTGCAAACTGATGTGGGGGGAGTTTACCCATGTTTCTTTCTGTAGCTTTTTTTTTCTATGTACTTTTATATAGATAAACATTCCTTAAGTGTAATTTGATAATTCCAGATTGAATAACTGAGTGGGTTTTAGAGTTGTGTTTTAATGGCAGTAGGAGGTGGAGGTTGTAGAACTAGATGAGCAGTTTGATTGTGATTTGGACTCTTTGCTCCATGGTCATTATGTGGTTAGAAAGAGCGCTAGTTGTCCTGATTGGGAGATGATCGTTGTGGAGATGGTGGTTCAGTCTTGGCAGTGGTTGTGATTGCTGAAGAAGAGTTTAGAAGATAGACTACTTCCTTTTCGTGTAGTGTTTCTTAATGAGGGCATTATGCATCCATAGTGCCTTGTTCCTCTGTCTTTTCAGAATGTATAGTAAGCTTTCTTTCCTCACTCTAAATAATACTGTGAAGAGTGTGTGTATCATAAATACATGGCCCTTTATGACTCTTTTACACTTTTTGAAAATAAAGTTTGCATATATGTCAAATTAATGAAACAGTAATGCTTGGATGATATTCACCAAGTATATTATGTATAATACAATATTATAAGAACTTTTGTCTCTCATGCCATGTATTTGTACTTTGTCTCACAGATGTTGAAGGTTAAAACTCTTTGAGCATGAAGGCCTTTGTCTTTTGACTTTGTGGTTTTTCTTTTTACTTAGTGCTTGTGGATGAAACAGATACACCAATAGTGTACATTAATTCATGAATAACATTGAAAACTCAATTCTAAAAGAAAGGACAAATGAGTTATTATATCTGTTTGTTTGGATTTCTGTTAATGATTTAGAATGTATAAACAGCCCTACATGCATAAATAAATAACAATGTTAGAAATCTACCCAGTCTTTCTACTTTATCATACAGTTTGGGTTTGTTTTCATTTTGTAACAAGTGCTGCAGCTGCATAAAAATAGTGGCAGCTGTCTCCAAGAATCATCTGGAAGGGCAGGGTGTAGATGTTCTTTTATCATGGACCTTGTGAAATACTGTGACTGTTGTGATTAAAGGACTGCTTATTAACTGTCTTTTAAAATAACCACGGGAAAGAAACTTTGGAATACAATGTGCTGTCCTATTTTGTTCTCTATTAGAAAGCAGAAGATGAGGATATTGTTCTCACACCTGATGGCACTCGGGAATTTCTAACGTTTGAAGTTCCACTGAACGATTCGGGATCTGCAGGCCTTGGTGTCAGTGTCAAAGGGAACCGGTCTAAAGAGAACCATGCAGATTTGGGAATCTTTGTCAAGTCCATCATTAACGGAGGAGCAGCATCTAAAGTAAGCAAATGTCAACAGTGTCGCTCGTGTGCCTGCTAGTGAAGTAGGAAGTCCTGGGGATGTAGCCTATAGAGGATTATGCTACTCACCCAAAGGCTGTAACACTGGTGGTTCAAATCTACTAGCAGCTCCTCAAGAGAAAGATGATGGTCTCCTCCCAATCATTTTACAGCCTGAAAGACCGACTGAAGGGTCAGCTATGAGTTGATTTCAACTTCCTGTCAATGAGGGCCTCTTTGGTTTGGTTGTGTTGGTATTTTTGTTATGTGTGGGTTTTCGTGGGGTTTTTTTTAAAGCAAAATAAGTTACATTAAATCCTATTTGTACTTTGGAAATATATACATTTAAGCAATGTTTTCTCATTCCTCTTAATAGTCCAAAATCAAATAACTAGTAGAAATCTTAGTGATGTACCTTCCTTTGAGTCCATAACTTCTCTTCTTTTTTTTTTACTCTCCCTGAAACCTCAACCTGTATTTGTTCTAGTTAAACGGAGCTAATCCGTGCAAAGGCTTAGCCTAGGTCCTGGCACAAGTGGGTATGCAGTAATGGTCCATCATTTTCCTCTCAGTGGGTCTCTTTATCCTATTTCACAGGCTAGAGAAAATGTCCTGGCTGTTTGGTTAGGGGGGGTACTTTTCTGCAATTGTCTAATAGCCTTGAGCTTTTCCATGTCTTAGGTTGTAAATAACCTCTATGGGGGTCTCTGGAAGGGAGAAAGAAATCACTTTGTGTCCTTGGAATTAGTATGCTATTTTGGTAAACAGATTATGATAATGACTTGATTTACAAATGTATAAGTGATTCAAATAGACACAGGCTACCGTGGCTGCTTAGACGTTATTATGCCAGTGTTCAATTGGGCATAATCCATTAGGATTAAAGGGTTTTGTCTTGTTTTGTTTTTATTTCTATTTCTTTATTATTTTCTCTTCTTTGTTAAAGGAGAAACAGCTTGTTTTGTAACAGATTTTCAAAGCACTCGTTTTTACCTGTTTTCCCAGGATGGGAGGTTGCGGGTGAATGACCAACTGATAGCAGTAAATGGGGAGTCCCTGTTGGGCAAGACAAACCAAGATGCTATGGAAACCCTGAGAAGATCCATGTCTACTGAAGGAAACAAGCGTGGAATGATCCAGCTTATCGTGGCGAGGCGAATAAGCAAGTGCAATGAGGTAGAATAAGTGTGTGAATAAAAATAAAATAAAAATAAAAGTACTGAACAAAAGGTATCAATATCTGAAATGTAATTAGGTTACATATGGTCCTCACCTTAGACAGAGACCAACAGGCCTTGCAAGTTGGCCTCAAAAGACTAAGTAATCTGTGCTTGCTGTAGATTGTTTTATATGTGGATGTTTTCTTACATCTGCATTCAGAATATTTCTCAGTATATGGTAATAGTTTCTATGGCCGACCTAAATGGTAACACTGATGTGAAAGGCTCCATTAGCAGGTATACCTTCTTGAAGGCAGGGTCACTTCTCTGTGCTGAGGACAAACAGTTGCTTTGCTAGTTACCAGCATTGTGCCTTCAGTGTTGCTGACAAGTCAATGGAGACTCCTGTTTGAGCCCAGGTTTAATAGAGTAGAATTTTGCTAGACCGGTTAAACTCACATCATTTTCATCATCTAGGGATTCCACTGTTATGCTTGTTGCTTGTTGTTGGGTACCATCGAGTCCATGCCAGCCCACAGCTGACCCTCCGGTGGGTTTTCAGATGCAGTTTATTACATGGGAGGAGATTGCCCATCCTTCTTCCACAGAGCAGCTGGTGGATTCAAACCACATACCTTTGGGATTACAGCTCAGCTTCTTGCCACTAGGCCACGAGAGCTCCCTACTGTTATGCTTAGGAAGTGATTTTGCTGAGGAGCAACAGTGAAACATCAATTTGCTTCCTCATTTACCTAAAATGAAATACCTTTAAAAAATTCTTTGTAGTGTTGAGTCTAACTTTCTTGTAAGTTAGTGCTCTCTTTGACACTTTGAGAAAGCTCGCTTTTGTTCTCACTGTTATTTCCAACCTCCTTCAGACATGGTAGACTATCTTCTACTTGAGTACTTTGTTCTTGAGTCATTCATACGTACAGTAATATCTCCATTTCTCTCTGGGTGGGTGTGTATCCATATATATTTGTAAAATAAACCATGGTTTGGTCAAATGCATGCTAGTGTATTTAACTAGGCACAGAATATTGTATCTTAAAGGTGTTTACATCTATTTTCCCCAATATGTGAAAGTATACTCTCTTAATGGAAAATTTGAAAGTTAGCCAGAAATGATGCTGTTTTTATTGAGTGGACTCTAATACAAGACAATCTCACATACCACTGAGTGAAATATTGCCCATTTTGGTACCATCTCCATGATCTTTGCTATGCCTGAGTCCATTGTTGTAAACACTGTATTTTGAGTGCCTTCCAAGGCTACGGGCTCATCTTCCAGCTCCATGTCGGACGATATTCTGTAGTGACACACAGAGTGTTGTTAGTGTTCTTTACTTGAGTTTTGGAATTAAATCAGCAAGCTTTTATTCTTGAAACCTGTCACCCTTGGGTGACCCTGAGGCATAGCTTACAGCCTGACTGTAACATGCAAGCCAATTTTAGATAGGTGATGTTGTTGTTGTTGTTGTTAAGTGCCGTCGAGTCACAGGCAACTCATAATGACTCTATGAAGGAGAGTCCTCGAAGCTTGGGTGCCTTTCATCCTCTCTCCAGGTTCATAGGGTTTCCGGAGGCAAGCTATTATGGAAGTGGATGCCACTCCTCCTTCCAAAGATAGCTGATAGGAAAAGAAATAATAGTGCTCTGATAACAACAGCGGGCCCCGTGGTAAGAAGCTGCGCTGCAATCCTGAAGGCATACGATTCATATCCACCAGCTGCTCCTCCAGAGAAGGATGGGCAGTCTCCTCCCGTGTGATTTATTGTTTCTAAAAAACTGCTGGGTGATCAGCTGTGAGTCGTTAATGACTTGACTGCACACAACAACATTGTTTTTAGTGGCCGAGTCTGTAGGGCATTAAACTACTAACCTGAAGCCCAAGCTTCTCTGGCAGTTCAAATTACCATCAGCTCATGGAAAAAGATGAGTAAACTCTTCCTCTGTGATTTATAGCCTCAGAAACCCACAGGACCATCACTGTGAGTTGGTTCCTGCTAGGTGGCAATGAGTGAGGAAGAGTATCGTTTTTGTGAGTCATCAAATTGACTTGGGCACCCAGTGATCTCATGTAACCAGATTGAGCTGCCCGATCAGCTGATTCTTTCTCCTGTGCAGTGGTGATGGGGATTGGAATTACCTACTTTTAGGCCGACGACCGAATGTTTAACCTTTACACCAACAGATTTCCTTAATGAGAATTAGAATCTGACTATGAATAACATTTCCTAGGACTTTCATACACTATTTACTACTACTAACTGCTGTGTACTAGGAACTGTCTTGGAAGCAACCTTCTGTTGGTTTTCTCAGGCTGTAAATCATATGATGGGAGATTACCCATCTTTCTTATAGGGAGGCGTTGGTGGATATGAACTACCAGAGTTATGTAGCTTTTGAGTTAGCAGTGCGACTCCCTGTAGACTATGTCATCAGAGCTCTATGGTATACATGGTGTTGTTGTTAAGTGCCATCGAGTCATAGTCTACTTAGAGCAACCTTATGAAAGAAAAACCTGAACAGTTGTATAACTTTCATCCTTTCTCCAAGTTCATAGAGTTTCCGGAGGCAAGCTATTTTGGAAGTGGATGCCAACCTGCTTCCAAGCTTGTTTTAATCAGGGAGCTCCACCAAATACTGTCCAACATGGGTAACCATTATCACATTTAACATATCCATGTCACAGTATTTAACATCACAGCAAACACGAGTTACCTCTGTACAGCAAATGGACAGATCAGTGCTATACCACTTAGAAGAATGTTTTACCGAAACCAAATTATATATATGTATCTATAAAAGCCATCTAAAGAGTAAATTATTCACAGTGTGCTCACTTCTATTATGAATCGCTGATACACAATGCAGAGAAAAATGGACTTGAGCTCAGGGGGCTCAAGTCAAAGACAAAACAATCACTTTTGAAGTAGTTTTTGACCATACATTTATTTGCACCAACATTTTATGTTATTTTATTTACTAAGTGTAGAATGAAAAGTATAAAGATCAATTTCTCTCACCATAAGAGAGCAATGTAATATTATCTAAATACCTCAAAGGGGGCAAGAATGCATCATTAAAAACAGTTATGTGTGTAAAAATAAATATGAAGGCTACTCGCTCATAGTGAGTCACTGACACTTAGGACAAAGGGTATATCCCTGATGTACCCTTTCCTGATTTTGAATCATGCAGCATGCCCTTGTCTGTTCAGACACAAGTTTCCTGTTTTAGGTGTAGGATTCGCAGGAGCAGAGTCAAGTATTCTGGGATAGAATGTATAGTTAATATATCACTTTCTGTCACAGTAAGAGAGCAATGTAGTCTTACCAAAATATCCCAAAGTAGGGAAAAGGGAGTCATTAAAAGAATTTATATATGTAAAAATAAATATAAAAGCTAATCTCTTACAGTAAGTCACTGCACTGGTTTTCCTTAGCAGCAGTCTTTATTAGCTGTCAAATCACTTACTGACCATTTTTGTGTCATCCTGCAAAGTGCTGCATGAACTATTCTGTATACTTAAATTTGCTAGATACATTATTCTTAGGGTTTTCCCCTGTGGCCAACAGAGTTATTGCACATTCTATATGGCAGCATTCATTCAAAAGATATTTATTGAATATCCATGATGTGTCCAAACAATGGGTTAGGTCCTGGTAAATACAGTGGGAAATCAACCAGAAAAATTCTAGAATTATTAGAATTTATTTTCTGCTGGGTAATATATCATCTTAGTCCTTAAATTTAGACTAACATTTGTCACTCCTTCTGAAAGTTATCCTTAAAAGAAAACAACAAAAACAACAAACCCTGAAACTTTTAGAACTTAACTCATTGCTGTAGTGTCAGAACTAACTCATAGCTGACTCTCTAGTGGGTCAGTCACACAGAAGGAAATTGCCCATCTTTTTCCTGTTGAGCTCCTAGTAGATTCGAACCACTAGAGAGGCACCGCCTTTGACTTAGCTATACACCTCCCTGTGGACTATGAAACTTTGCAAGTCGGGGGAAGGCACTGGATAGAAATTGTAAGAAATATTGGAAAGAAAGACTCCTGCATCCGGACTTGATTTAGTCTAATTCAGAGTACTCCTTATAGTTCCCCAAACAGTAGCAAAAAATCCTCTGCCAACCTGCAAATGTTTTGATAAAAGCACTGATTTTATTCCCCATTGCACTGTAAAAGACATGGAATTGGAATCCCACTGAAACATCTCTGTCTCTCATCACGTCTGTGTTTGAATTTATGTGAATGAAAATGATTTAAGTAAGGGAACAGCTGCAGTAGACAGTAATAGATTTTAATATTCAATATTCCTTATGGTATCATTTTCATACATTGCTGGTTATTACTATTTCTTAGGACAGAGTAAGCTTATAAAGCAATTATATCAAAAAAATCTTATCATGAGCACTGTACTTTCTTTGTAATACTAGAGAGAAGCCTTTTGTGCTGACAGGGTTTAACTAAAGAATTATATCAAGACAGTAGCTCAATACAGTTTCCCATAAGGCGTAAGACATGATTTTGTTGCTGTTCTACTTATATATCTTCCCTGGAAGTACGCCTCCCCACCTCACTGGGAGAGTATGTGTAAATTATGTTACAGTAAATATTGATAGAAGCATAAGGCGCTGTGTTGTCATGAATGAACCGCAAGCCAAAATAACGTGCTTTCTTTCTCTCCTTCTGGGTCTATTAGTCAGATGTGCATTCCAGTCTTTGGCAAAATCACAAAGCTGTATTTTACTGTTCTGTCTTTGAATCAAGGTCTGCATGCTTCATTTCAAGCTTTATAATTTTTTTCCTAATAGTCATTTTTCTTTATTAAACTAGAATTTCAATACAATTTTTAAAAATCTAGCTTTATTGGTTTTCATATAATAATTCCTATGCATCATATTTTATACATGTGCTTTGTGTTTTATGCAATCATCCAGATCCATTATATTTTATATTAATTAGCATTGTTGTTGTTTTTGTTATGGGCTGTTGAGTCACCT